GTGTTGGGCATGGGGTGTGGGAGGGGCCACTCCCCCCTCCGCTGTGCTCCTTCCCTACCTGGGGTCCCCCCTGCCCTTCTCCCCCCCATACTTACCTGCAGTTCTGGCGTGGGGCAGCCACGTGGTCCCAGGCCAGAAGCCCCAGCTGGGGCTTCTGGCTGCAGAGGCAAGGCCGGGCAGGCCCTGCTGTTGTGGGAGCCCGCCAGGCTTTCCCTGGGTCCTACTGCCCTTGATTCCTGTAATTCTTTACTGGAATCAAGGGCAGATAAATATTAATTTTCTACAGTTTTTAGGGGCACTGTGGGCCAGATTGAATGGCCTCACTGGCTGGATGCAGCCCGTGGGCCATATTTTGCCCCCTCCCTGCTTTAGAGGAATATGGCAATGGGATTCCCCAACCAGTCTATGAATGGTGTCTGGGCTCAGCTCCAGCCCTTTTCCTACCCCTGAGCTAAGGAGCACGGGCAGGCGTATGGGTATCACAGCTATTCTGTGTCTCCCAGAACTGCAAGAGAGCCAGTAAAAGCAGTATGTGCGTGTTTGAGTAGTCCAGAGGCTGCATTACCTTGCAAGGTAGCCAAGGAGCCAGGCAAGTCCCCACACAGCCCTTTACCACATGTAGGGCAAAGCTGGCTGGATGCCACCTTTCTCTCCCACCTTAGACAACCCCTGAGTGGTATAGGATTAGTAAATACTTTGTCTGGTTCAAATATGCCACCTGCCTTGGGTATGGGACTGACCTGAATTAATCCACCGCACCTTCTGAGGGTTGCCCACCAGGACTTGCTGCTAATACTTATGGCTAATTTAGCAAGGGAGCTATGGAGGCAACAGCTGTCACGCTGTAGATACATCGGTGCAGCTACTCTCTCGGCGTGCATCCTTAATCCTTTGCTGTCTCCCTGTGCTTTAAAAGTGGATTTGACCTTTCAAGAGTTATCTGGAACAATTGCCTATCATGGTGGATTTAAAGATACATTAAGTGACTATTGGAAAACAAACCAAATAGATATAATTTGACCCCCAACAGTGGATGCTGGTATGGGAGATTCAGTCCAACCTCTTAAGACTGCAATCATATATACCTGCCTGCAAACTCCGCTCCAGCCCTGATTGGCAAAACCTCTTCAGATTAATATTTTA